GGCGCTGTTTGAAAGTGGCGGGACCTGACAGTGGACACTGTTTGAAAGTGGCGGGCTCCCTTTGAACGTTGGATCCGCCACTATTGAGTCGCTGGTACCTAGTTAGACTCGCTGCTGCATCGTTTGGATCCAGCGACAGGCTAGCGAATCGCTTGATTCGCAATCTATGACATTGGTGCTGTTTCACACGTTTCAGCATCAACGTGAGAGGGTATAATGCCTCGCATGGCAAGTGCATAATGCCCCCATCCATCACAGCCGTCCTTGGTCGACTATTCAAAAATACAGGCAGCGCTCGCCTCGCCGCGAAGCACGCAGAGCAAGGGAGGTTAACGCCGAGGTGCCGCCAAGCCCGTTGCCGGCAACGGGCTTGGCGGCAAGGTCCACTAGCTGCCACACTCCACCTATACACCAGCACTGAAGCTCCGTACAAGAGTCAGGTTCTATAACGTCCATTTTGTCGCCGTGGAGTGCGCAAAAAAAATGGACAAAAGGGCACGTAGAATTCAAATCGATGACACGTGGCATCGCGCGCCAACCGATCACGGGTTACGGTTGCGGTCACTCTTCAGACTTCGTAATCCCTCTAATGCGCTCTTCTGTCTTGTCTGCAACCACTTTTTGACATGTTCAAACATGTACACGTTCAGACATGTGAACAAAACGTGAACACTCCCTGACAACATTTCGAAATACGCATATTGAGATAGCGCCCTTCTTTGCAGCGGGGAGCGGTCAACAGAATCGTTCGGAAGTGGCGCCGCCGCGTGCAGCCACTTGCGCGGCGTTGCCCATTAGAGCAATTTGATCCTTCGTGGTCTACTTCATTCACTTATCCAAGATCTATTTGGCGTTTAGAGGGGCCGTCTTGTGCGCTCGTTGGTTTAATTGCCAACCTAGTTGAGGTCGCCTCCCTTTACTTAGTGGCGAATCAAACCTAATTATGGTATTAGAATGAAGAATCGCTGCATGCTGGCGCTACAGCTGTGCCCATGTATAGATAGAGTAGAGTATTCGGTTATTCTAATTTAGTTGCCGTGCATATAGCGGTAGATAGAACTATTCCAAATCTCGGATTTCATTTTACATTGTTCGCATAGTGCTCCGCGAAAGATTAGTGTCAAGCTGAGAAAAACAAATAGCTTTCTTCATTCATGCCCAAGAGGATCTGGTTCTCGATAAGAGCCTCTAAACTTTGCATCGAATGATGCTCACATTAAACTCGCCCACCCCATCGCCGACCACGACACTAGCTGCGGGCCTTCGGACGATTCTTTTGGCACGCAACACCGGCTGTGCAACAGGCACCTTTCACTATGGTGCACTCTGTTCCAGTTTCCTTAGGGCCGTCTCGCTTTACAGTGGCACATTCCTTTCTCATCTCTAATAATTTTATCGTGCCTCCAGCTCTGGATATTCAAGTTTTTTTTCACGAGTACAAGCTACTATTACCCTCGGTTCGGGAAAACGAGAAGAAGCGTTCGAGTGCCAGACCACACACCACACACGACGAGAGCATGAGAAAAAGCCACGGTTTTTATTGCCGTCGTCACTTTTGGTTGGAAGTATGCCCTCGATCATCTTGTCGTTCTTCCGTTCTCGCAAAATAGAGGGTATACATGTCTCATCCACATCCCAAGTGCTCAACCATAATAGGAACCAACTTGCATCGAGCAGCTTCCAGCTTACGAGTTTAGCATCAACTAGGACGAGTTGGCAGCAGCGCGTTGTGTTGCCGCAGAAATCCCTTACTTCTGCTGTTTCTGCTCTCCCCCCTCCTCCCAGATTAGGTAATTTCGTTAATCATGCGGCCATTCGGAGATCAGAAAAGTTTTCGTTCGACCTCTTCTACGTTATGAATTTGTGCGCCAGTCGATCCTAGGGATCCGATTTGCGGATGCTAGTATTGCCAGGTAGAACAGTCGCCTGAATACGATGTTTCAGCTTCCGGTCACTACAGTCACTCCTGAAAACCTTTGCGTCGGAACCTGGTAAAACATGGTGTACAATCACCGCTCCTAACAACAGAAATTCAGACGGTGAACGTCGGGTTTTCGTGTCGTTAGGACGCCGCTCCGTCATAACACCCCGAAGCGGCCGTGATAACCATCTGATCTTCGCACCAGTGACCGTCTCCCTGTAGCGAGCCAACCGTGAGCAAGACTACGAACTATGATTGGACATGTTATTACGTGATTGTTTTAAAATTACGTAGTTTATTACTTTAATATTATTTTTTCATGCAAATCGTTCCATAAACGTATCGTCATCCCTCGTTTGGTAGTCTCGCCCTCTGCATCATTATCTCTCCGATCGGTAGACCAGCTCATCCTTACCGCGCTTGAGGTTGTCAAAACCGCTTCCTTCGAGCCCTCGCTACGCACGAGTAGTTGCCGAATATACTTCGGAAGTTCGACGCGGAAAAGCGATATTTATTTCTTGTTTTTTGTGATATTCGTGCTATCATGTTGACGACAGCGCGACGTTTTTGGTTTTTGCAGCGCGTGAGACAAGGGCGCTTTTGCGATGGTCGTAACACCTCGCACCTGTGGATTTCGAACGATAACCTTGGAAAGCTTCAAAGGTACGAAAACATCCTAGCAATATATTCAATGCGTAGAAAGTAATCGAAGATATAGTAGCGGAATTTCGATCAAAAAAAACGTGAAATGGTAAACAAAACCGGAATTTAAGTCTTTTTCTCTGTAGTGAATGCAAAACTATTATCCATGTGGAAGTGGACATATATCTTTCTCTCCCTTTAGGTTTGTACTCACTTTCACTACCTTTTCTCACTTGCATGTCCATCAGAATAGGAAGAAAACGAGGGATGAGCCGAGCTGTCAATTCCGCTGTGCTTAAAATTTTTTTGCTAAACTGGTCCATATTTGGTCACATGCGACATATGCCGTTTACAGTCATATTATGTTGTAATCCATAGAATAGAGGCAGGCAAATTGGGAAGAATCCCCGCATATGCTAGAAAAAGGGATGACAGGGGTGAGACGCGCAATCGCGTCTCAATGTCGTCAATGTGTTGAAGTAAATGTTTAAGGTATTCAAAGGAGCTCCATTCGGATAGCGACAAGGTGCGTAACATCGACACCATTTTGTGTCACACGATTTCCTTGGCCCGATACCACTTCCTGGTGCAAGTCTAGCCCAGACAACAGTTGACGACATGAGCGCCGATGCGCAACTCGCTTCATTTTGTATTATATAATTTTTTTTGATCAGAGCACTACCTTTTAGCGAAATCCCAGCCTCGGTGACGGATAACGGATGCTAGTCCTCAGCATTTCTTTACCCCGCCCGGCTTCTTTCCAAAGTTAAGCCAGTTTAGTAATTTCAAAGAACAGACCATATTAGATCGTGTCGAACAATCCATTCCTTGGGTAGGGTAGAGAAGCCCGCGAGTATCATATTCGTGTCTTTGTCACGGATCGAACTTGCGGCAATGGCGCTGTACAAAGACTATATGAGCTAATGGATTAGATACGTTACGTATACCCCGTGGCGTAGCGGTAATTTCAACACGCAGGTTAGTACTATGGAGCGGCAGACAACTGCCTGAACACAAGCCTTTGTCGTTTCGAGGCAGAAGGGAGGACTCCTTGTTTGAGGGTTTCATCGACGGTTTTCTTCGCTTCTCTTTCATTCTCAGTTAACTCGGTATCCACAATTTCATGTTCGGCCGCTGCTACCCTACTAGCTTGATCTGGAATTTGTCCTTTAATGTTGCTCTTTATGTTCTTTTCACAGGTCTTTTTGCGGAAGTTTCTTTGTCAAACGTTCTTTGCTGTTCTTCACGCTTTCTGTATTAGTTTCCTTTCTCCAAATGTTAGTGCAAGGCCAGGCTAAGTTCCACTAGACGCCATCGCTCCCATGATAAGGTGTAGTGTCCGCCAACCGCAGATCTTGCGCACCCTTCTCGCACATCAAAAGCTTACTAGGCTAGAATTTGATCCCATACCAAGCGCTCATTCGCTACTTCTGTAACTGGTATCAAATTCTTCTTAATAGAATCGTAATCCGACCACTGTTGTATCTTGTCGCAATTAAATCTGCTACTCTCCTAACTCCACATCTTATCCCTCCACGCTTCCTCATCAGCCCATCTACCCGGCTACGCTTCTGCGATTCAGTCTTTTCGCCAGTCGTAGAGAGTCACGTATTCCCTTTTTCCTACACTTGCAAGTCCGAGCCTTCCTAGTTTCAATTTATCTTGTCCCGAGTACATAACATGCCTCCCTTTTTGCGCTCAGAGAGGGTTTCCTCACAGTCCCATGCACCATCTGAATACACCATAAACTTCACTGCAATAAACGAAACTCGAAGTGAAATACTTGTGCTTGACATTCCCCCTGAAATTATCAGCCAATTTCTTCCAATATTGTATTGACAGTTATGCAAGTTTGACTAATCGCATGAACCTAACGCTCATATTGCAGCGAATGAGAACAAACCCAACGTGAAATCGAAGCTAACAGTGACATCAGAATAAAAAATCAAGGTTATAAGTATCTCTCCGGTATGCTCTTTATTTTGCCTCTATTTTTCAGTCATCCTCGTCTCCATGCTTCTCGTTTCTGAGACAGTATTGTGTCGAATGTCGCGATAGTTTTGCAGAGTCACCACATCATTCAGTCTTGTTCTTTCCTCACATCTTTCATTTCACATCCTTAAATTAGGATCACCATTGATCGATTATTGTACATCTCTGTCGGGTCCTTCTTATGGATCTCACTGTATGCTTTTTCGAAAACTGTCGTGTTTTGAAGCATTTTACGCGTTGTGCTGAATAGCTAATGCTTGCATGCAAGTCTCCGGCGGCCTAAAAACGCGTCTTCCTCCAAAGCCGAGGCGTGAGCTTTGACAGGTTAGGTAAGCAACGCACGCGCCTTAATGGAGAGTGTGTACCAAACCAGATACACCTACCCATCGACTCGACCAATTTATTCAAAAGTTCTACACCATTTACTACATAAATTCTGTCGAACTCATACCTCTAGAGGGAATGGATCGTGGCAGTGATTCGCTAGATTAAGAATATCATGAACGGCACTTCGTCCCATCAAATAAATTGGTCCATCGCAGTAACTTGGAAACACCTTTCTAGGCCAGATTTTATGTGGAATGAACCTGAAGTTTAATTGCAGGAAATTCGTATTGTAGTGAAATTTTGGATTAGATACCATTTACTGGATGGGTCCCGTATCGCCGGAATAGCCGACCACACCCGACAATATATCCTATCTTCGCCATGTCTGGCATCCTTCCAGTATGTGAACATGCGGTCAAAATGTATAGAAACGTCGTCGTCAACCTTCATCAGAAAGTCTGATCTCGAGCAGAACTTCATGAAGAACTGCATAATTGCATTAACCTTAATGAGAGCTGTGGAGTACACAGGATATAATTTTCTCTCATGAAATATGAGGGTAAAATTTGTAATTTACTTTGAACACCAAGTTTTCATATGATTCCTCCATATCAGTGATTATCAAATCGTGGTAGCTTTCCTGTTCCTCCAGCAGTCTTGACATTTCCCACTCTGACTTCGGTGCGCCCACAAAGAAAAACACTGATGCAAATCCATCCTAAAAAGGTAGAAATAAAGTATGAAGGGATGAAATGTAAGGTAGCCTTTATGCTCAGCACTGATCAGTTCTTCTATGATGCACCACTCATTGAGCGGAAAAACATGGAAACACATACTAAGCGCTTCATCTTTTTGTGGAGCTAAGCCATTTAAGTCAGTGCTCCCAGAAAGTGAAGGAGGGTTTCACGAAAAGCTTGGAGGTCAAGGAAGAGAATATACACTGCGATGCGTAATTATAGTTCCACCTACAAATTTCCCAAAAACTTGAATCTGAGGATGTTTTTGAAAAAGGCTTAACGGATAAATTGTGACACATATAAACGCAAATCTGAATATTAACACGGAAATCCAGTTTGAGAAAGCAACAATTTTTCATCCCCATTTTTTCGAAAATACCAGCTTTGCCTATGACGCAAAATTATGGTTCCACCTCATGTTTCTCCGCTGCATTTTGCTTCTACCCAATCAAATTTTGAGGATTGATGTACCATCCAGAGTTTCTTAACGCGAAGGCAAAGACCGAGTGCAAACCGCAACGCAAGCGAACCAAACCGACCGAAAACAGAACTTCCGAAAGTAAACAAAAAAGACCTGCAGGCGGATTGTCGACAGTGTTCGATTCACGCTCTGAATGTGTCGGGCGCGTGACTTCGAGTACGGCGGATCAATTTTCCCAAGGATGCCTACAGGGGATATTGATACTTGGGGAGGAGCGCCTGCCCGTAACTATCGATCCGAACAAACGACCGTCTTCGTCGCCTTTTCTACTTCGGCCTAGCAAACGATGCTTTGATGGGCGAAGGAAAAAGAGGCAGCGAGAGGTAATGTTATTCAGCAGTTTTCAAAATATCACAAGATAAAAATTGTCGCTCACCATTGCTCTACTTTCGCAAAACTTTTCGCAAGGCAAATATGGCTGCCTTTTATGCTCTCGAGTTTCTCTATTTCGACCAAGGACCTGTTCACGAGGGTTTATTTTAATAACACGTCCAAACTTGCGTCCATCAAGCACCTAACTTCTGAAGAAGCCGTTTGATTTCGCGTACCGGCCGTGGATAAAGTTGTAATTATTTTGCGTCCCGGATGGCGCCTTTTATGGGCTCGGTTGGAGTAGCTTAATCAGGTTTTCCCCAGCTATCGCTATCCCTGTAGCATGCTTGGAGAAATCTTGTCGTTATGACAGTCACCCGACAATTCGCGCGTCGACTGAGCTGACACTTCAACAATTGCTAATTCTCCGTATTTGTTAGACTATGATTTTCCTTTTATGGGAAGTCTGACAGCCCGGGTTTCCCTTCGCTGTAAGCTAATTGAAACGTCGAATGAGTAATAATTTCAAAATGTTGAGGTTAAGTAGAAGCAAAATTTAAGAGAAGCCCAATTTGGGCTAAGAAGAAACATAGAGGTCTGCGGACTATAATTTGGCGTCAGTACGGCAAAGCGGGGGTAAAGCCGAATAAATGAAAGCCGCATTTGCCGGTTGCCAGATCCCTTCTGAGATGCACCACGCCATTCTATTCCATTTGTACATTCGCAGTGGCGATTGAATGCGATGTGGCCTATACAATGACTTGCGGGGGCCAGCCGTTCAAGTCAGTGTTTTTATCCTCCCGGACAAGTCTGGTACCAATTTACCGACTCCGGAGGGATGGAAGGCTTGGTTAGCCTGGGCGACTTACGACCCAGGGTTTGATCCCCGGACCGCTCACGTGGTAAGCGCGCCACTTGTCACTACACCACTTCCGCCCCCCGCAAAGCGGGTATTTTCGAAAAAATGAGAATAAGAAATTGTTGCTTTCTCAAACTGGATTTCCGTGTGAATATTCAGATTTGCGTTTATATGTGTCACAATTTATCTGTAGAGCCTTTTTCGAAGACATCCCTTCAAGTTTTTGTGAAATTTGTAGGTGGAACTATACTTATGCGTCGCAGTGTACCTGTTGGGAAAGCAGTCGGGCCTTGAGGGTGCGGGACGAGCGCGTTCCGGTACCCGCGCCGCTCACGCCGCTGCGGTCATACCGGTTGGCTGACCCTTGCCGTCTGACTCTACAACAGAGAGAGCGCTAGCGCTGACGACGTCAGTAGCGATGTGACACTCCTAACGTGCATATCGACTGACAAGCGGGTGTAATAAGTACTTATCGGGTTCTAGTTCGTTTTTTTGTTTTTCTTAATTTTCCGTCTTATGTGGTCATCTCTACTCGGTTTCTAGTGACTGTCCCTTTGTCTCACTTCAAGTGTCCTTCTCCCGGAACTTGCTGCTGAGGTGCGTACATCTTATGGAGCTTTCATATTTGGCATACACAGACCACGCTCTTCTCATTTTAATAATATCAAGTAGATGGCCGAAACGGCGATTTATAGACGGCCATATTATTGTCGAATGCATCGCGCCTCTTCAATTTGCTATTGCTCTTTAACGGCCGCTGGCAAAATGTATGTACGACCAATGGGATCGCAGTCGTAGTGGTTTGACCTCCGAGGGTGTACTTGCCCTCAAAGATCTCAGAAGCGAGCCCGATAAGCTCCTTTGCTTTGCCTGTAGTACTCCAACGCTATTGCGTATTTTGATAATTTTGTGATTGTCTCAAGAGGGAGTGGTAACGTTAACAGTGATGAACACGCTTCCAAACACATGGCTTCAGTATAGTTACAAGTAATCAAGTGGTACGGACGGTTCCAATCCGTAGCCACGGTTTCCTCATAATACACTGGCGAGGAGAGCGCAAAGAGTTGTGGCAAGAATTGAAAGGGCTCGAAAAGAAAATCAGACATTAACTCGATCCAACCCATATTTCTCTTGCATAAGCTTTTGTTGATGCTCCGTATTTTCCCATTTTACGAAGTTTATGATGTTTCATTACTACGAGTCATTGAACCGCTGAGATAGGAAGGTAGATTCTGCTGCACATGAGTTATGTTCCGGGAACTTATCATTTAACCCATTGCGGACGGCGTGCTGCACAATGTGTGTGCACCATGCATGGATAATGAAACAAACCATTACTGATTCGTTTCGTGCACAAAAATGTCATCTGTTTAGACACAAAATTATAGAGATAGAGTTATTAGATACTGCGGAACAGACGGCACCTACAGAGGTGCTCATACAGCGTTGGTTCGCAATAGTTAACATGGACCTTTCATCTCTGAATCTCAGTGACCTAAAGTCACTGTTTCAATAAAATCTAATTATGATAACAATGTACCATTATCGCTCTCGATATAATGGGTGATGCCCATGATTACGGATAGCTTGTCGGACCATGCGCCGCTCTGGAGTAGTCAGCACCACGTGCAGTAATCTCGTTTTTCCGCAATATTCAAATGAATACTTACTGCGCCAGCAGAACTGAAAGTGACAGCAGTTCCAGGCGATCCGCGAACTGTCGAAATAAATGAGGATAAAGTTGGGAGATTCTTTTTAATACTTCACTTAATTTACATTTTTGAACGGTTCTCTAGAAAAATAGCTCGACTTACGCTACACGCACGTGCATTGTTAAAATGCGGCAAATAGAGATAATCGGTATGATGATATGTAGTGTTCCGGATATCAGATTCGATATAAGGTTGGGCTTGGATCGATGTCGCAGCAGTGCTAGCGCAAACACTATTTTCAGCAGTAGGTAAAAGTCTAAATTTTTTATTTATTTTCTTTAACCTTTCGTTGCTGATGAGCAATAACAGTGTATATAAACCGCGCAAGCCAAAGTGAAGAACGGATGTACAAAATTCAATAGAAGCCTTAATAGTCAACAAGCTACAAGCAAGAATTGCTGTACAAAATTGCTCTCAACCGCACGGTAAGCTCGTTCAGGTCAATTTGAGCAACTTGATGCTACATCCCAACCACGGTTGCTTGGGTGTCCTGCTGCGCTCAAAAAGGAACAGAGGAGCAAAAGTGGGCCGCCGGTGAATTCAAGAAGATAAGCGCGTTCAAGCATTAAAAAAAAAAGGATTTCTTGTCAAGGCAGGACGAAGGAGCGCTGGGCACGAGCGAGACGACCAAACATCAGCGAATTTCTGTGGCAGGTGAGTGTCAGGTTGGAACTCCTAGCACCTTTTTAATGTGCTTCGAACAGCGTGTTACCTTCCCGTTGCTATACTGCCTACTTGTCCAGGATCCGAGAGAGTGTACGTGGGATTCGCCCTTAAACTAGTGTAGTTGTTTGGTTGATGTGTGTGAGGAGAAGTTATGCTAAATTCACGTGATACTTGAATGCAAAATTGGAGATGGAAAATATTATCAGCAATATTAGCCAAAAGTACGATTGCCTGTTCTAAGGCGTCTAGACTAACGTCGCATAATGAGGGACGCAGGAATTCGACCCCACGACGCCGTCATTCGACATAAGGATGAGGACAAGTTAATACATCGTAAACACCTGTGTAGAGGGTGTAAGTCTAGAACTCCCGTTGCACAGGCGGATCTAAGTAAATATAACTCTAATCCCATTTGTTATTAATTGCACCGATACTGCTGGACGGTGCCCTCATTCCATACACTCATGCCATGTCCGACAATCGCACCGTGCACTGGCATCTGAAGGCGCGTACCTCCCATTGGTGATAAGTGGAGTGCGTTTCAGGAATTGGTGACAGCTTTAACTATGGCGCGAAGCCATCTCTTGTCGAGGATCCCGGCGACACCAACCGACCCCCGTAGATTTGAAAGGGATAGTGCCAGTGTTAGATACTTCTGTTACGTACTGTTTTAAGCTGGTGTCAAATTCACCCTCTTAGTAATGGCCGGAGGGGGCCGAAGTGAATTCCGTTTGTTTGCCGCTATACTGAGAGAGACTGGCAATAACGGATGAAAAAACAGGCGACCATTACCACCGCAACAATCGAAACGTGTAGGTTTCCCTCATAACAGTATATCTATTAGGTTGTTTCTTAAGCAGGGTCGCTTTTTCAAGCGGAAAATTTTCATCTAAATCC